CCCGCTAATCAAGCAAAAGGATCAGAGAGGGTTTAGGGTTTTTAGCGGCTTGCAGCTTAGCTGGCTTAGCTTTCACAAGATCTGCTACGGAATCCGTAAACAGGCGGAAGAAGCTCTGCAAAAGAGTTCTTTGCAATACCCTGAGGGTCCATGTACCCAAATAGTAGATACTCAGACCTTAATGTAGTCCCTACAGAGGTACTTTAGGGTAAAAGTACGCTTATACGGATACATGGACCCTTATGGATAGCGAAATTCTGAAGTGCTGACTAACATGTCTCCCTACCGGTCCTATCGACTCCGTACTGTGGACAGCGTTTAGCGCCTACTGTCTTTTGTTGTGGCAACTGTGAAAATGCATGATGCTGTCTGCCTCCACGTCGATCCACCAAGTGTCGTTCCAAAAGCCTCGATTGGAGGAGCTACACATGAAATCAAAAGACTTGCCTGTATAAGACAAAGATAGCTTTAACCTACAAGTGCGGCCCACCTTTTACTGGCCCAGGCAGACAAATCCTAAACCCTAAATTCTGAACACTAAATCCTACGCCCAATAGCGCAATACTCACTAAACCTTAAACTATAAATCCAACTCCCAAACCCTAAACCCTAATATCAAAATCCCTCCAGCCCGCAGCTCAAGAACGTGCAGATGCCAGCCTAAATCATCCTACAAATACTTTCATGTTCAGCTTTTTGGCTTAGGCTATGAGAGTGCAAAAACTGGAAAGCCCTTTCGGACGCCAGTCATACATTGTTCACATCCTTCGGCTGCAACATAACCGACTGTGCGTGTATAACCCACTCTTATGCAAACACTTCTGCATGGATGCACTGCTCGTTCTGACTGCGTCGTGCGATTGGGCTGTTGGCAGGGCCGTCACAGAAGTTGGGCCCTAAACCCTAAACCAAGCTCCATTGGGTTGGTCCGTGAGCTTTTGGGTTTCGCCGAGTTGCTGAGTTCCACTGCCCAAAGAAGCGTTTTGGGTTCAGAGGCTAGCATCATGCCCAAAAGGGAAACGCTACGAACTACGTACCCAACTAATATATATATATATATGTGTGTGTATATATATATATATGTATGTATGTATATATGTATATATGTATGCATGTATGTATGTATGTATGTATGTATGTATGCATGAATATGTATGTATGCATATCTACATAATTCAATCAGGATCCCGACTTGGAAGCGCATGCTACTTCTAGTTCTAACGGTGAATAAGTTTCTCGGTACCAGAGTGTATGGCGCAGGAGGCCCTACTTGTTTGTACCAGTAAGAAACAATGATATGTCAAGTAAGAGTCTAGACTGTACGAGTTATAAGTCCCACTTACCCCCGCTTAAAGACGAAATGAACCTGAAAGGTATACTATAAGCTTCATATACCAGATCGGGATTCATAGTATAAGGGTATAGGGCCCTTACTGTTAAGGGTCTTGTGGTCCTTAAGGCAGATATGGTAACACATGAGGTTCATCACAGCTGTAAGTCCTGGGCTCGAAGCATGAGTGCGTTTAACAAGGGAAAAGCGCCCTATGTCGTGTTCTTGACGCCGGAAGACCCTAAAACATCTATAAACTCTGAGCCGTCGAACTTTACACCTGCAACGGTTACAAGCGCTTGAAAGTATATTCTGACATAAGCCTTCGAGACATCAAGAAGACGTTCTTTGAGGCCAAAGAACATGCTTGTTTAATACTTGACCTTGTGGTGTACCCTAGTCCCTAAACTCCACCCCTGCCCCCAACCGACAGCAACACAAGTCGGCCCCGTGCGGCTGTCTCCATAGCCACCGAAAACCCACCTTGGCTTTCAAGGTTTCGATTCTGACGGTTGGAGATAGGAGTTTAGGGTTTAGGTAGGCGTTTAGGGTTTAGGGTTTAGGGTTTGGGGTTTAGGGGTTTAGGGTGTAGGCTTTAGGGTTTAGGGGTTCAGGGTTTAGTGTTCAGGGGTTTAGGGTGTAGGCTTTAGGGTTTTGGGGTTCAGGGTTTACGGTTTAGGGGTTTAGGGGTGTAGGGTTCAGGGTTTTGGGGTTCAGGGTTTACGGTTTAGGGGTTTAGGGGTGTAGGGTTCAGGGTTTTGGGTTGGGGGATGGAGGCTCTAAGCTTCTGCAGGGGTTTCGGGTTTTGGGCAGCTAAACAAAATATATAATATTATATATATATATATATAATATGTATATATAGGGGCCTTCAGGATTAGAATAGGGCTTTGGTGTCTAGTATACTCTGAATATAATAAGGAACCCCCAAAAAGATAGTATAGGTAATTATTAAGGCCGCTATAGTACACTTCTCGAAAGGCTGACAAGGCTTCTTCCGGGGGAGCAAGGGCTCCGTGTCGTTTGGCCGTGAGGACACCTCTGCCTGCATCACTGCTATTACTTATTGCATGGGCTTTCCTGCCTGTCCTTGGGGCTTTAGGAATTAGGTTGGGCCCGTCTCGCAGGGGTGCTGCTCAGGTGTCATCCTCAGAGGCAGCGCCAGAACTGCTCTGAACCGCATACCCTAAGGCCTGTCAGCCCTGAACCCGGCAGGGTAGACATCAGCCATTGAAACCCGGTTTACCTTTGTATTGGTGGCCCTTTTCACCTAAACCCTAAACCCTAAACTCTAATTATTGTTGTCACTTTCAATGATTCGATCATAGCAAAGGTAACCCATTATATAGGTAACATGGGGAACTGAAGACTTCGAAAAGGGTTTTGGGATGATATATGGAATACATAGACAGAGTATACAGGATTCAGGCCCCTACATGGCTATTCTACGTATCAAGCAGTCTGAAGACGCTATCCGCACATACTTATCCGGTGGTGCTTTTCTGCTCATAAGACGAGAAGGTAAAGAGAAAGTAAGCCCCAAAGCCAAACTAATTGCCGAGTCTCATTCGCCCAGCATCGCTCAGCTGGGCTCCTTGGCCGTTCTTGCCATCTAACGCTCAAAGTTCGAAGATTGCAGTTTCTGTGGTTAGGGCCTCGGCTTTAAAACCTTTCGAACGACCCTGCCCCACCCCCAAACCCAAAACCCAAAACTCTAAACCCTAAGCCCCGCCCCCAGTGCTCCGAATTCTCTCTGTGTCAGTTGGTCTTCTAAGTGCCCTGGCCATCCCTGACCGGGATTTTGCGAGGCTGCTACAGGAAGGTAACAAAGGAGCCTAAATAACTTGAAAGGGTTTATAGGGTTTACTGTGAGATGGTTTTAAGAATATATTACGGAGCCCCATTCGTATACTGGCGAGGCCATTTCACCGTGACCCTTCGCGGAAGTCTTTCTGGATGACTTGTTTTAGAGATAGGAGCATGATAAGGGAACCAGGCAATGAACAAACATGTACTACAACCGCACAGGGTAGCTTCGGAATGTAGTGGACCCTGATCACGAAACCAAGTAAGTAGAATTCTGCTTGTAAGGAAAAACCCTACAGCCTAAAACCCCTAGGGTCCTTAATGCAGGGGCCTTAATAATTAGAATAGGGTTTTGGGGCCCATTCTACTATCATTATACTAAGGAACCCCCACAATAGTATTGGTAATTAGGCCCCTACAATTCCCCTAAACACTAAACCCTAAACCCCTTTTGAGGGTCTTTTGGTCCAGAAGCTTCCTTTCGGGATGTAGGATTTGGGACGCAGGATTGAAGGTCAGGGATTACTTGGAGGGTCGGGGGACTTAGTAAGTAGGTAATAAGTGGGCTTAGGGTTTTTGTTTTAGGGTTTTCTTTAAGGTTTAGAGATTGTTTTAGGGTTTAAGGCAGACTTATAAGAGACCTACAAGGGACGTAGGATCAGGGTTCCTAGGTTCCTGAGTAGCCCTTTCTGTAATAATCAAGTAATCAGGGTACCCTTTTAGGAAGGGAGCCCAAAAAGAGAAAGGGCAAAAGGGCACTATTCAGCAACCGAATCCCCGACTGTTGCATGACTCCCTATCATTGGGCCTACTGAGCCGTAAACGAAGTCATCCGCTTGAAAGAAGACTATACCCTCTAAGCATCTGAAGGTTCCGGCTAGCATAGAAAGACGTGATAATGAGGCCGGGGTTGTGAACAACCTCACCATCCGGCTTTGAAACCATGGGCCCCTAGTATGGGCCCTTAGCCATGGGATCCTCACACACCTACTATATACCCTATATGTACCCTTAAGGGTCCCTAGAAAGGCCTAAGGTTCCTTATTAGGGGCCCATACTTCTAATTTATGAGCCAGGTTCGTGAATCTACACCCACAAAACTGCTCGGTAGGCAAGGCGCTGCGACTGATTCGAGCTGTCGGAGGAGAGTTACCTTTTCTGCCCGGCAGGATTCAAATTTATGCGGCTTTGCAGCAACACAACTGATATCCTAAATCTAAACCCGCGGGCTCAGATTGGGGCACGGAATGGACTGTTCATTGCATCTTCGGGCTACTCGGATCTTAACTCGTCGGGCTTACCTTAAACCCTGAAGCCCTGCACACATACATGCACATGCATACATACATACATGCATACATATATGACAGACAGCCACCCCTTCCTGCCTGCCTACCTACCTACCGACCGACCGACCGACCACCCACCTACCCACCTACCCACCTACCCACCTACCCACCTACCCACCAGCCTGCCGACCTACCTTTCTGCCTGTCTGCCGAAATGCATGCATACATACGTACTTATGCATATACGTACACATTTACATACATGCATGCATATACCTGCCGGTCTGCCTACGTACCTCTACCTACATGGATGCATGCAGACATGCATGTGCCCCACCAACCATGCATGCATACATGCATGCAAGGCATGTCATGCCTACATACAAGCATGAATGCCTATGTGATTCGCCTTCAGCCTTCAGCTTGGCGAATTCACAGAAGACCAGAACTTTTATATGATCGGGCGTCTATTACCAGTATACAGTATATCCATGTTCAGCAACCAAACCAACCCGAATCCCCAATATAAACCCTACTTACCCCACTTCAACCCATCAGGATTTTCATTATTCGGACCGGGGGCAACAAGGCGTGACACCAATCCACCACGGAGCAAGTTCCTGGCGCCAGAGGAATTTCGCGAGCTCCGCAAGATTCAGGGTTTCGGGGCTTGAGGCCACCCTGGGCTCCAAGGCGAACAGCTTGGTAGTGTCTTGAGACCAGGCAAAACTCTACGGCTCCATTGCGAAGCAATCATTCGCCCTAAGTCCCTCCATCAATCTGCGAGGCAGCAAGCACGACCAGCACCATTACATCCCATTGCTCAGGAATTTCGGAACAGTTCATTGCTTGGTTCTGCGCATTCCACGGTGAAATCTTGGTTTACCTCACGTGCGCACCTAACCCTCAGAACTAAACCAGGACCCTGCATTCTGAATCTCAGCGAGCCCCTTCCCGTTACTGGAGTTTTCACTTTCCTCCGAACAAAACCCTTGGACCAAGACTGAAGTAATCTGCGTCCTAGCAAGAGCCCCCGAACAAACCTTATACTCGGATTCCAGGAATATAGCTAATCGGCCAACACGCTCCAGCACATACGGCAGGAGCCCCATATCGGACACCGAGTTGCGGGTCATGCAGAGTGTGTAGTAGCGAAGGTTCGCGTTCAGCTGGCATGCGAAGGGAGCGCAGCAGCCACAGGAACACCAAAAGTGAGTGCTAATCTGTATCAACCTTTTGAGTACGCACTTCGCCGTTTAATGTTCGATGGCCAGTGGGCCGTCTGCCCTTCTGAGATGCCGTTCAACGCGAGGGTTTAAAGACCCTAAACCCTTTTAGACCCTAAACCCTTAAACTCCTCAACCATACACACCGAAACCGGAGACCCCTAAACCCACAACCCCGAACCCGACACTCCTACAGCCTGAAGCCTTAAATGCCGTTCGGGGCATCAACCTCGTAGCCAGCCTCTAAGTCGATGTAGTGCAGGTCAACCAAGTTGCCTAGGGTTCCGGCTCTCCCACTCAGACAATGAAGGTGAGGCTTGTGGTCTTAGGGTTTATGTAGGGTCAACCAATCGCCAACACCGGCTTCTCGGTACTGTGGGGCTTTTGGGGTTTACGGCCTAAGGTTCCGGTTTAGGGTTTAGGGTTCAGGTTTTAGGGCCCGGGCAAGCCCTAAACCGGGTCGATATTCCAGAATGAGTTGGCATCCCTAAACCCTGAACCCTAAACCCTAAACCCTAAACCCTAAACCCTAAACCCAATGGCGTTGACCCAAGCCAGCCGTAGAGACCTGAAGCGATTGCCACGGATTCTGGCTGTCGGGCTCATGCCCTCAAGATCCTTTTGCTTAAACACTAAAGGGCGTAAGCATTAAAGGATCATGGGACTTAGTAACTACGATGATAAGCAAGGTAACTATAGAAGGTCTAAGTACTTATCGCCCCAATCAATGAAGGGACCTATAACCTGCCTTACTAAGTCCCATGATCCTCGAAGTAGGGCCCAGACTTTTTCAGGACTCGTGCAATCGCCTGACGGTCTGAGCATACGGAGGTTCAGCTCTCATGACTGCGCTTCCAAGTAGGGCCTAGGCAAAACCCCCAAACCCTGTGCCCTACAACGCAGCAGCAGCTCTGGAGAGCTTGGTCAAACTCGGAACCTGCAGTCGGCGAACGCTTTCTTCCCTTCCTTTTAGAAATGGGTAGGGTCGAGGGTTTTCCCTTTGAGGCTTTAGGGTTTGGGGCTTTTTTTTGCATCCCACGTAGCGAGGACAAGCCCGCATTGCAGGGTTTAAGAAAAATGGGGATAGAGCGTCCTAAAAAAATTCAAGTTTCTGTAGGCGCTCTCTTACAAGGCTGGAGGGTAAACTCTACACCCGTAAGGCCATGAGCTTTCGGCTCCGGTACACACGGTGTGTCTTATCTTGTCCCACAACGTATGTTGCTACACGATACAGCTTCGATTATTCTCGAAGGACTTGCTGTACTTGTGGGGGTTTAGGGTTGGAGGCTTAGCATGTCATGTTGTAGCAGGTTGCTTTCGGGTTAAGGGGCGCGTAAATACTCATTCTGCAGGATCCAATGCTTCGGGCTCCTGAAGCCCCAGGCAAAGCATTGAGGGTAGACTTGTTTAGGGTTTTTTAGGGTTTAGGGTTTAGGGTTTAGGGTTTAGGGTTTAGGGTTTAGGGTTTAGGGGCTCACTCCAGTGTTTCTTGTGACCCTGCGTACATCTACAATGATGCAATGTAACCTTCAAGTACAATGTCGTGATCCGGATCGAAGGGCCCAAAAACACTTGACAATCATTTACAATCCTTATTTGCCGGCTAATGGGTTAAAACAAAACTTCAAATTCAGGCAGCGGCTAATGGCTTGAGGTTTTTGGTACCAAAACCCTAAACCCCAAACCCTACCATGTCCTATCCCTTTCGGCCCTTAGAACACTCCACTCAACGGCTCTCACAAAGCCTCAAGGTCGTCGCCTTCGCTGCTGAACCCAAGTACAGTAAGAGACTACTGGCTTCGGATATCAGTAAACCCTAATCCTGAGGGTCCATGTACCCACATAGCATAAACTTTGGCCGCACCTTGGGTCCAAAGTACTTGCTGTTTGGGCACCTGGACCCTTTGGGTACACCTTGTAGGGCAAAGGTTGACCGAAGCTTTCATGGGTTCTAATGGACTTTGCCAGCTTCGTTGGTCGGGCATAGAAGGCTAGGCACGCCTCTACGTACTGGTGATGGTCAAACACCTGCATTGCTTCAAACTGCTGACCGACAGGAATGCTCACTTGTCATGGTAGTTTTTTGGCCATCAGCATTCTCTCCCCATTCAAGGGCTCACCCTAAACCCTACACCCCAAACCCCTAAACCCTAAACCCGAAACCGTGTTCAGGCTTACGGCTTTTATAGAGTCGGTTTGGCATGTGGGTGGTTGTCAAAATTATGGTCCCTTTTTGGGTCCTTATTATAATGCGGCACCTATTATTTAGGGTACCCCAAAAGGGACCATAATTTTGACAACTACCCATGTAGGGACCACACAACTCGGCCAGGGTCCGGACTGAGCCCATCGTCTCCAAAGCAAATGAACCTCGCGACAAGCAAGCGAGCCACAACTTCTATCATCAAGTTGAGGGTTTAGAGTTTAGGAGCCACAACTTCTATCATCAAGTTGAGGGCTTGGAGTTTAGAAGCAGTTTTCTGATGCTTCTTCATGAGCTTCCAACTTCTCCGCAATAGTGTAGTTGAGGCTAGATGGAATCAGATTCACGCAATACGTAAGGGTGCAATGCTGCCGGCGATCCAGTACTTTCGGACAAACAGATGCGGGGCATAGATCACAGGTTTGAGCAAAGCCTGCAGCCTAGACCACAGAACCTATAGACGGGCCTGCATACTTTGACTGTGCCATACCCTAAACCCTGAACCGAAGCGTCAAAGCTCCTAACCAGTACGCTATGAAACACTTAGCGGAACGTGAGGGACCCAAGTTCCCACATTCCACGCCAATTAGCTGTTTAGGGTTTAGGGGTTTAGGGTTTAGGGGTTTAGGGTTTAGGGTTTAGGGTTTAGGGTTTAGGGTTTCTTGCGGGTGGCTTGAAGCAGAGGCAGAGATACCTTGACTGGTCAAAATTCAGCTGGAGTAGGCCCTCTGGATATGAAACCTCGAACCCTCGATCTGCCCTTTTGCCCTACAAGCCAGAGGATCCAACAAGCCCCTATACCAAAAATCTTCCAAAATTAGAAGCTCCAAATAATCCAAGCTACCATAAGCAGCTTGAGAGCACAGCAGTAAATCCATTAGAACGTAACATCTAAGACTGTCAGAACCGCCGCGGGATGCGCAAGTGAACCTAACCTCTCAACCAGTGCAGCACAGGCGCATTTTCCCGGAAGCTGCAAGCACGGCACTGTGATCCTTGCGAGTCATCCGAAACGTTTTAGTAGGATTCGACGATTACTCTAATCGCCTTATGGGTTCCAGTTCTCAAACAGGACGTACACTGTAACATAGTACCGAAAAAGCAGCCTTTCCTCACGTGGCATAGTGTGAGAGTGTTTGAATATACTTGGACCCGCAAGGCGTGGTGGGGGTTTCGGGTCTACTTAGCAACTTAGGACTTTGAGGGTTTACTGCAAAAGCAAAAATTTCGGTGTTCGAGTTGTGGTTCGGGGGGGGTTGGCGTTCTCAAGCGTCTGCGATCTCCCATTGTAGCCGGCAAACAAGTTTGCAGAGACTGCATGGCAGCCCCGATACTGCGGCTTATTAACCGGAAACGGTGTAGGGTTTTGGGGTTTAGGGTTTGATCCGGTCCTCCTAAACTGAGTACTGGCGTTGCTGGCAGGACTTGATCCGACTGGAAAGCCTCATCCACGACCCTGATGACTAAGCTGAATGACTCTGACATCTGCGTGGCAGGCTCCTTAAATCCCAAGCTAACGCTCAACAGTTTGGTACTTGGCTTTGAGGTGATGAGTATGCTGCTCTTAAAGAATCCGGCTCCTATTATCGGTAGCTTTACTTGAACAGCGGGGCCTTGCGAGCTTGGGGGTTGGCGGCAGAGACCTCCGTCCATGTTGGCGATGAAAGATCCTGAAGACCAGTGGTTTAGGGCTTCGTTTTCTTTTCTTTTCCCCTAAGGCTCGAAATAATAAGCCCATTGATGGTTTAAGGCTTTGTTTGGGTGTCTCCTGCATTGCTAGGAGAGGCCGCTAGGCCGGGACTTAGGCTGCGTGGTCGAAGGTCACTGCCCTGGCCATGCTCGTGAGTAGAGCCGTCGATAAAGATCCTGCTCGGGAAATACAGCCTAAACCCGAAACCCTAAATCCTTGAAGGGTTCAAGATGGAAGGCTGCCACTGCTGCAAAAGTTAAAGGAAACTACAGGTGGGGAGTTTAGGTATATAGGGCTTCTATAAGGCATCCATGAGGTATCTAGACCTTCTATAAGGCTCCTATAACGGTAACTACCCACCTGAAAATGTCCTAGACAACGGCAGCTCACAAGTAGATACGAAGAGGGCACACTCAGGCAGGCAGTGCCGAAGTATTTCCGCGGTTTCCCTAGACGAGGACTTCGCAGTGCAGGGCCGGGGAAGGCAGGAAGTTGCTGGAAACGACTGGCCCTAAACCCTAAACCCTTTCTTGAGGAGGGGCTGCAGCGCACCCTAAACCCGAAACCCCTTAAAAAACCTGAAGCCAGACGATATCAACCGCAGATTCGACGGCTCCGGGATCTGGATTACGGACCCTAAACTATGGGAATTCTGGTATATTCCTTATTATAGGCAATGCAGGATTTACATCATCAACCGTAGCACCAAAGCTAAAGCAGCAAAACACATCACGAACCATGTGCACCAGCACATACCTATATACGCTCACTCTCTGTATCTCTCTCTCTCTCTCTCTCTCCCGGGCATGGGGACGGGTCAACCCCGGGCACCAGGCCCACCCAACGTGTTGTTGGGCTACGGGGAGTGAGAAGCGAGTGTATATCTCTCTCTCTCTCTGTGTCTGGCCCCCTCTCCCTCTCTCTCTCTCTCTCTCTCTCTCTCTTTGCTTTGCTTTGCTCGGGGTTTGGGGTGAGGGCAGGCCCCCCGCCCCGCGCGTCAAGCGCTACCCCATCCATCATTTTCGACGGATGGGCTCAGCTGTGCA